TGTTTGCAGTTTCAAAAATCTGAAAATGTTGAACCAGCTCAACTCTTTGCAAACAATAATCAATTGGGACTCACAGTCCCCCAGGATGTCATCTTGGACAATGACAGGGACTGACCAACAAGTTTTAATTAAGTCTGTCACCTCAGACTTGCATTTCCCCTGAGAACTTTGCCCTTGAAATCCTGCTGGCTGGCTTTGACAAGGGGCTGGTAGTCTAAACAAATTCCATAAGAGCTGTTGCCACACTGCACCCCCTCTTTGACTCCAACCCCTTCCCATCAAACTTCAAACGCAATCCTGCCCCTTTCACTCTTCCATTCATTACTGAAATCTGTTTTAAAAGTGTGCAACTTCCAAAATATACTTCATTTAAAGAGAGCAGGTGTCTTAAACAATATTATTTTGTGACCCTATGAAGCATTGTTCACTAATAGCTCATCTATATTTTTCCTTAAAAGGCTGTCATGTACAGTAGTTCTCATATACCACATGTGCCATGTGATAAGTTACCGCAGCAACTGCTACTTAGGTAACAAATAGCAGGCAGAAAGCTTTTGTCATTCACACATGTTCCTTCATACTTTTCTCCCTGAATTTTCCATTCCTGTTATGCATAACCAAAAGGTGACCACATACTGTGCCATATAAGGGGGGAAGGAATTGGTAAGTTTCAGGAAATAGTAAATTGTGCTTACAGCACATGGTCTTTGAACTTTTTTTCCCTTTGCTTCTGCAACCTGCAGGGAAAATAATAAAATGATCTATGCATAAATACAGGCCTGAGAGAACTGATGTTTTTCAATCTGACTACCAACATTCAAACTCAGATTTAATGCTACTATTAAGATGTTTATACATAGCAAGTTATAATCAGGGGCATCGTTTGCATGGGGCTGGAAGAGATGGCTGTTTCCCACCCAGACTTGAGGTTATTTCATCATTGCAAAGATTAGAAGTGCAAAAATGCCATGCATGTCTCATTTCTTCTCCAGTATGGTTTTGTTTACTTTGTTGCCTGAAGCCCCATGAATATTCACAGGGCTCCAGAAATTCCTCTCCCTCCCCATCCCCCCAAACACCACCTGCCCTCCTGCAACAACTTTGAGACAGCCCAACAAGGCTGTGTTGTCAGTTACAGCGAAGGAAGCATTTCAAACTGAGTGACAGTCTAGCTAGTTAGAACATAGCTCTTCAGACTGACTGTTGGAAATCTTTTACACAGGAGAAGAGGTTTTGGTGTTTTGTAAAGTCAACCTTTCTAACGTCACTTAAAACGGGAGCTATTCACAACTTCTCACATAAGGCACTAACCAGTGAGCTGTGGCATTTTAGAGTGCTTACAATATTATGGGCCTGTTTCAAAGCCCTCCAAACTCAATGGAGATTCATGTTGACTTCAGGGAGGCTTGGACCAATCTGTAGAAACCTGACACTGCAGCTTTGCACCCACCGTCAGCTGCTGCCTCAGCCTAAATTAGCCCAAAGAGCCTGGCTAAGTTATGGTAACCTTCTTGGGCTGCCTTACAGGCTGCAGCACTGCTTGGAAACTTGCCAGCAGTGGGCTATGGCTCTGCTTCAGGCGTGCCCCATGTATCTCATCACCTGCCCTAGCTTGCTGTCCCTTCCCCTGGGCATCTGAGAGAGCATTCTGAAGCTAGCCTTATGGCTGCCTTCAGCAGTGCCTGTGCAGGAGCTATCCTGCCATAGCTCATTGCAAAACTTGGAGAGTCCATCTGTGCTATTCCAACCCTGTTACCCAGAAGTATCCCCCCACACTGCAAAGTCCACAAGAACCCCTTGCCCCAGGGGATTAGCCTGTGTCTTTCCCTCAGCATCTCAACTGGTTTTATTTTGTTTTGCTTTGCCATGTCAAAAATGCCTAGCTCCCAAGAATAAGCGTTAACAGTGAAATATATTCTTGCCCTGGAAGCAAGAGGTTGAGGACCAAGTGCCTCCAGCGCTGCTGAAATGCATGTATCTCACTTCAACTCCTTGCCAAGGGTGTACCAGTGAAAGTAGCACTTGCTCTTACAAAATGTTTTTCCTGTGCATTTCACTAACTGAAGCATTACAAAAATTATACGTACTTTGCACAAGCAATAGTTTTTATTGTGTATATGGATACTAAAATCACAAAAAAATCTCCTTTCTGTGAAGCGTGATATGGTGATTACTATTTGGAGCTCTTTAAAAAATATTTCTGTTAATTGCAGCTTAGCATATACACTGCAGGATCCCAATTCTGCATGGCAGCTTTCAGCCTGACTGTCCATTAACCCCCTGCCAGACAGACTTGACCAGTAATTACTTTAAATGCTTTGAAAATAGATTGACACAAAACAAGAATTTTCACCAAAGTCGATCATTAAAAATAGAGGTTCCCTGCAGAAGCTTCCAAGTGCGGAAATCAACTGAGGCCAGTATCTGTCAAGGGACTAAAGATGTGAGGCCTGATTCAGACTCATAATCTTTAAGGTCAAAAGCAACCATCCTGATAATCTAGGCTGACCTCCTGACCATCACAGGCCACAGAATTTCACCCATCCACTCCTGTAACAAGCTCATAACCTCTGGTGGATTAAAGTTCTCAACATTTTTATTTAATGGCTTCAAGTTACAGAAAACCCACCCTTCATTCTAGTTCAAACAAGCAAGTGACCTGTGCCATGCTCAACAGAAAAAGGTGATATTCTTCTACCCTTCACGGTCTCTGATTGGGGAAAATTCTTTCTGACACCACAATATGGTGGTGTTAGACCCTTAGCATTTGGTCAAGAACCACCAGCCTGATGGGAGAAAATTCTCTGTAGTATCTCAGAGCTCCCTTCAGCTAGTGTCCCATCTATGGTCATTGGAGATACTTGCTAATAGCAGTCCCAGATAGGCCATATGTTACTGGTAAAAACAAAAACAAAAAAAGGGAAAAGATTATAAAATATTTTGGGTTTTTTTCCCACAAACTATTTGTTAGCAATTTCAAAAATCTGAACATTTTGAACCAGCTCAACTCTTTGCAAACAATAGTCAATTGGGACTCTCAGTCCCCCAAGATGTAGGTCATCTCAACTTGAACAATGACAGGGACAATACAGGCAATGTTGTCGTACCATCTTCTCTGTAAACATATCCAGATCCATCATTAAACTAATGGAGTTCAATAAAGAACAATTTGTAAGACCTAGCAACATGGATTGCTAGTGGAAGTGTTAACAGGCTCCTTATCAGAGCTGGCTCTATGATGGTGTTGCTGGTGTATATATGTGGGCAGAGCTGGCACCGAGGTTTGTAGCAGGAGGCTTCTGGGTACACGTCTGGCTCTGTCAATCCCGAAAGCCTACCGACTGCTATGCTTACCTGCATGCCTCCAGCTTCCATCCCGGACACACCACACGATCCATTGTTTACATTCAAGCACTGAGGTACAACCGCATATGCTCCAACCCCTCAGAAAGAGACCTACACCTACAAAATCTTCAACAAGCATTCTGTAAACTACGATAGATTGACAGAGCCAGACGTGTACCCAGAAGCCTCCTGCTACGGGACAAGCCTAAGAAAGAAACCAACAGAACACCACTGGCCATCACCTACAGTCCTCAGCTAAAACCTCTCCAACGCATCATTAGTGATCTACAACCCATCCTGGACAACGATCCCTCACTTTCACAGGCCTTGGGAGGCAGGCCAGTCCTTGCCCACAGACAACCCACCAATCCGAAGCATTCTCACCAGCAACTACACACCGCACCATAATAACTCTAACTCAGGAACCAATCCTTGCAACAAACCTCGGTGCCAACTCTGCCCACATATATACACCAGCAACACCATCACAGGACCTAACCAGATCAGCCATACTGTCACTGGTTCATTCTCCTGCATATCTGCTAATGTAATATATGCCATTATGTGCCAACAATGCCCCACTGCTATATACATCGGCCAAACTGGACAGTCCCTATGTAAAAGAATCAATGGACACAAACCAGATATTAGGAATGGCAACATACAAAAACCTGTAGGGGAACACTTCAATCTTACTGGACACACAATTGCAGATCTAAAGGTAGCCATCTTGCAGCAAAAAAAACGTCAGGACCAGACTTCAAAGAGAAGCTGCTGAGCTACAGTTCATCTTCAAGTTTGACACAATCAACTCTGGATTAAACAAAGACTGTGAATGGCTTGCTAACTACAAAAGCAGCTTCTCCTCTTTTGGAATTCACACCTCCAGATCAGCTACTAGAAGTGGGCCTCATCCTCTTTGATTGGATCCACCTCGTCATCTCCAGCCTGATTCTGGCCTGCATATTTATATCTGCCTCAGGAAATTTCCACTACCTGCATCTGACGAAATGGGTCTTTGCCCACGAAAGCTTATGCTCCTACACTTCACTTAGTCTATAAGGTGCCACAGGACTCCTCGCCGCTTTTACAGATTCAGACTAACACGGCTACCCCTCTGATACTTTTCTGGAACAGATATTCCAAAAAAACTTCTTCTGAAAGAGAGCATTCACACTGCCAAAGCATGTTGAAAAAGCGGTCTACTTTTTTGAAAGATAGCATCCACATTGATTGGACGCTCTCTCACCCAGAACCAGTTCAGCCAGGGTTTTAGGTCACCAGTTGTTTCCGAGTGCTGTTGCCGAAGCCTAGCCAAGAGACACACTTGAAGGCACCTCCCTGGACAGCCGTTTTTCTGCTTCTGCTGCATGCTTGCCTACCTCTCCGAGGGATAGCAAAGCTCTTGCAGTGCCTGTTGTGGTTGCCCAGCCACACATACATGGAACTCCCCTCTGATTGCACAGGGGAACTCCAGGTGCTAGCTGCTGCCAGCGTCCAAGCTCCCACTGACATAACTGATGCTGGAACAAACTCCTTGTGTTCTTACGGGATCACATCCTATGTGTAAACACTGCTCCATAGTGAGTTTGGCTTGTGCTCACAGTAGAGTATACCAATGGAATCTTGGGACAAAGACCTGTGGTGTGGAAAGGCCACTGGAAAGAATTTTGTTGCAGCGTGCTGTGCCTTGCTGTGACCTCCTTGAAAGGGAACCACCCATGGATAAAAATGGACTTCGCTCGTCTCCCAGACATTATCTCCTGGCAGAGTTCCAAAGGAGCCTGAACTAAATTGTAAAGTTAGCTTTCCCCTCCCACCCCAGTGAAGAGCCACTGTGCAAACACTGCATGTCATTCACCAGTGCATGGGTCTCCATCATTGGAAGGATGTGCAATCTAAATCTTTCTGCACTAGTAAGGCTGAATTAAATCTCTTAAATGTTAAACATTATTGTATCAGAGACCTCATGAGAGTACTGTGAATTAGCAAATATAGCCCGTGGGTTGTCCATGTTTTTACCTACCATGCTTCCCCCCCACTCCCCGCGGGGTATATATGTCCGCGTCTTATGCAATTTGATTTTTACTCATATTACAAGAAGACAAGATCAACATAATAAAATCAGCATCACCAGATTCTTTTATGAAGGCAGCAGAAGTCTCTGCAGGTTACGTCCGTCCATGGGCATTCTAATATATTTTTTACACATGATAGAAAAACTGTGGGTAATACATGAGTGCATGTTATACTTGGATGCATGTTATATTCACTAATTTACAGTAATTAAACATGTTCTGTGCCTTTTCCAGCTCCTGCAAACACAGAGTTGAGAAATAAATTCCTGTTTTGCACACATTTGTGTAAAGAGAAATACTGATCCTTAGAGAAAATTGAAGTGGGTTCATTGGACAGTATTTCCCCCTTGTTGACCATAAGGTGGCACTGCAACATAAGTATTTTCTCTTAACTGTGATCCATATTTCAAACATCTTACAAGAGAGAGTCACATGGTACAGCGTTAATATTAAATATGCCTGTATTCGATTTACATGTTCCATCTATGTAAATCACATTCTGACACACAGTTTTGTCTTGTCTGGAGCTTTGCCTTTGTTGGGAATGGCATTAATTCTCGACAGGAAGACATTTTCAAAGCTGTAACAACTTAATTGTTTATTAAGCTGAAACATACAAGTCTCAACACTGGAATCAATAGACAGCAATGTATCATTTTTAATGTAAATAAGAAAGTTTGTTTATCTCAGAACAAGGCTTTTTTGTTGTGTGTTTACTTCATTTTTCCAACTGATCAAAAATTCTTAGATTTAATGTCGAGGATCTTACAGAAAACATATTTTGCATTCTCCTGCAGTTTGGCTGCACCATAATAAAAACATTTGGAAGTGTCCCTTTCATTAGTGACTCAGGAACCAGGCTTTCCTGATAGTTATGGCTTTCCTGATTACTATTATTTCAGGGGAGTAAGTGAAAACAGTAGGTGAGATATACATATTCCATTTTCTTCAAGTTGCAAAAAGCCACTGACACTTTGGCAAGCCTTAAAACACAGTATACTGAAAATACATACAAATTTTAAATTGTATGGAGTTGCTGGATGGTTCTGTGCTAGAGCAAATAGCACTATCACTTATGCTTTCCTCATCTGGTTTACCTCTTAGAATCCAACCCCCCATCCACAGTGTCAGAAAGTTACCATCCTTGAATTAGTGTCCAGCAGAGGAACAAAGAGTGAATTATCTCGGGAACTGAACTATTCATCTTCTGACCCATAGCGGCTTCTTGCCAAGTCAGGCTTCAAGTCCCTGGATAGGCAACGCCAGGAAGCTGGTATGATTCCACCCATAGTTTACTTGTTCTCTGGTGAAAAAGACAGGGTTTGGATCTCGAGAACCGTCAGTCTGGCATCTTTGAAGAACACTAATTTACCAAATGCTATTCTATGGGGAGAGACACTAGTCTCATATTTTCTTTTTCAGTCCTGGGAACAAACAGTGAATTCAGCACATAAATGGAAAAGTCCCACTTCATCGACCTGCTCCTACTGTTTTACCATGTGATATCACAATCTTATGTGATGCTGTTCTAATTTGTGATGTAACTTTTAGGCGGTACCTGAAGAGATGGGGCAATAAAATCAGCCTAGCTTCCATTTTCCTAGTTACTACAGTAACCTGAGAAATCATAAATGACCATTATTAGCATTTGATAAAGTACACAGTTTGCTGGAGTACAGCAGTACATCTTCAGTGTTGCTTTAGGACATAAAATCATGAACAAATGCATGATGATAACCTTAAAACATCCTAGCTTTTCTCAGATTCCTACTGGGACATTTTTCATTTTTACATTTAAAAAAGGCACACTTCAACAGAGACCCAGTCTGTGTACATTTAGCAGTCCTTCTTTTGAGCACAAATGAAATCTGATCTTTTCAAATCTTCATCTATTTTCAGAGTATGCTAGTTTTTCCTTTTCCCATTTTTGAATCAATAATCTTTGTACCAATTACCAGCTGGTATCTTTCCCATACGCTGCTGTACATGATCTGGCTGCGACCCAAGAGGTCTCTGGCTGTAGTCCCATTATTGTCCACACGAGAGTAGGCAATATCCACACAAAGTCAGGGTGCTGTGGGAAATAATGTTGGTGAACAAGTAGCGTCGGTTCTTCTGATCAATGGGTTACAACTGAACAATGCCTCAACATGGTGCTGGGGGCAAATAAGACTTACTACAAAGGTTGTGATCACTAAAGGTTAGGCTGTGATTTGGACTATGGCCCACAGCTGGGACTAGGGCAGGAAGTCCAGAAGGCAGCAATACCCAGAGACAGATGGCAGTCAGTTGGGATACAGAAGGGAGTGACCCAGAGAAGCTTAGTTGAGGCTGACACAAGATACCAGAGGGTGAGCGGAGCTGAACCAGCCTGCCAGGGAGAGCAGTAGTGTTCGGTTTGTTTTTCCCCAGCCAGGAACTGTATCCATTCTGTCTGTAGAGCTGCTGCCTGGAATCTGAACCCACGAGGAAGAGCTGCTGTTTGTGGACTGGACCCACGAAGTTGAGTTCCCACCAACTGTATCCATTAGGTAAAGCTGCTGCTTGTGACCTGCACCCACTAGATGAGGTTGTCACCAGAGATGAACCATTGGGTATAACAGCCACCAGGAGCCCTAACCACTAGTGGAAGTCATTGCCTCTTGCCCAAAATCCCTTTTACAACCACTGAATTCAAAGGAACTAATCATGTGAGCTAGCACTGCTCAGCATAGATGAATGTTGTACAGTCCAGTTCAATACAGTTTGGTCATGTAGTCATTCCTGATACAAAGTGCTAAAAACAATATCTTTGCACTGGTAAATTTTGTACCACCAGTGCAAGATCTGTGCTATTGACAAATGAATGAAAACTAGTGAAAAATCTAATTTGGTACCATGAACTCTCCAAGAAAAATGCTTTTTGTAGTTTTCATCTGCCTTTCTGACAACAGATTACTGACTCTGATATACAATAGGACTGACAACATTGTTCAATGTAAAATAATAGTTGTTGAAAATAGACCTATTTAGACCTATGTCTGTTCATACATTATTTCAGCAAATATGTCAAATATTCATAAATATTCACTGAATAGTTCTCATAAACAATTTTGAATATATGTTTATAACCTATTTTTTCCTGACCTAAACAAGAGGTCTGTGTAGACTTGAAAACTTGTCTCTTTCACCACCAGAAGTCAGTACAATAGAACATACTAGCTCTCCTAATTTGCCTCTGTAAACTATTAACATTTGTGGTATGAGAATGGGTCACCTGCATCTCATGGTATTGTTTCTGTTCCCTAATTATTCGATGAATGAATCTTTTTAAACAGGAGATTTGCCAATAGTGACTACGCAGTGATGAACTTCTGGCATGAATTTTCACATGAAGAATCATTGGTGAAATGTTCAGGTTTTGTGAACAAAGGAGGATTGGTACATAATAAATAATATGACCCCACAAACAGCAATGCAGTGAAGTCAGTACAATTATTTGCTAATATATTTACACATCTGGTTTTTTGTTATTATTATTCAGCCAGCTCTACTATGGACACAGGCACAAGATCAGAATGACAGTATTAAAAAATAAGGGCACAATATACTGGTTAGAACCGGTTCTTTGGACTTTGGTGCATCAGCTTTAGTTGATCCAGTTTGGATGCACTTCAGTGAAGACATCATCCTAGCCCTTGAGAAGGAACTATACTAAAAGAAGTGATTTTGACTATCATCCACTGTGATTATTTAAAAATCAGCTTTACAGTTAGAATATGCTGGGCCAAATTCTTCCTTCACTGAGGCTATGTGAGTATAACTGAAAGGTGAATGTAGTTTGCCGTATTTTAAATAAAAAGCATGAAATATTGCACAGCTGAACTTGCTTTGGACTAGATGCATACAAATGGCCTCAGCAGGGAAACAAGGAATGTGTGAAACTTCAATCAGTTTATCTGCATCTATCCTACAAGAATGAAAAGCATTATACTGCAATGCATGATACTGTATGGTACCAGTATATACATTTAATGATTAGGTTTTTAAATAGTTTCATAAATTCAACATGTGTCTTTATAATGGAATATTACATAGTAATGCATGTAGGGCCTGATCTAAATCCCACTGAAATAAGACTTCCACTGACATCAATGGAGTTAATTATCAGACCCATTATTGGTTTCTTGAGAAAATATGTATGTGAATGAATTTTACATATCTGATTTTAAATAAATAACAGTTTAAAAAAATCAAATGGAAACTTGTAAATATGTTACTCTATATATACTCTACGTATAGCTTTTTCTTTAAGTTTATATTTTCCAGTTACTCATTCTTGCACTGAATATACAATTCTTCTCTTACTGCAAACTGTAAAATACTAGAAGAATTAATTAGGTTTGGGAATTTACCTAATTGCAGTCAGACACTGTATAGTCACTTGGTTATGCTTTTATATATCAAATTAATTAATTAATGTAAAGCAATAGTTTTAATCTGGGTGAACAGATTCCAAGCTATGTGTTGATGCACTGCAGTATTAAAACAGAATTTTGTATTCAATTCAAGTAAATGTTTTCGTGGCTAATGGATATATTTGATTTCTTTGGAAAGAGCGAGGGAAGAACATACCTTGAAAGTGATGACATAAGTGAAGTTTTAAGAGATCAATGCTAATTATGTATTATACTGTTTTAGAGAAGATTAAACTTCGAAACCACAGCCAGATGGTGTAAAATAACTCCTTGATTCCAATTTTATTTCCACACTACTCTGTTGCTGGGGGGAAAGAAATGGATAAGCATAATGTTTTACAGACTCACAAGGAAAATGTGATTTAGCTTCCGTGAAATATTGTACACTAAAGAAAGAGAACTCTCATCTCATTAGATCTGCTTTTTCTTGGAATGGATAAAATGTAAATATGTGCACACAAAAATAGACTTTAAAAAATAAAAACTCCTTAAAGAACTGTATTTGTGTAAGTGAATTTACATATTATGTCTTTTTCCATAAAAATGCATCATCAAAAAGAACTTGTGCCAGTTTTGTATTAAAAGGCCTATAGAAGTCTCTTAGGATCGCCTTTGTTGTTGGTAACATGGGTCCCAGATTTCGGTCCTCAGGCCGTCTAGTGTTTGATGCAGGACTCTTTGTAATTAGAGCTTCTTGTTTCTCACTTATAGGCCCTGCATTGAACAGAAAACTATTTTAATGTATTTTTTCTCAAAATATTCATATTAAAGAATGTAATTGGCTAAGTGAATAGGTTTGTCAAGAAAAGATTAATAGAATTTTTTTAGCAGTGGTTATGTCCCAGAATTAAGGATGTTAAGGTGCAGGTAACTGACTAATCGTATAGTCGATACAATTTGTATAAACTACACAATTAGTCAATAAGGCAGGCCTGGGCAAAGTACAGCCCATGGGCCACATCTGGCCCACCAACCCATCAGACCTGACCTGAGGACGCAGCAGAGCACCCCAGGCAGGCTCCCTGCTCGCCTTGCCCCACCCGCATGCCACTCAGAAAAGCGGCTGCCAGGCCGTTTCTCTTTTGCAACTGTGAGCCCGGGCAGGGGGTGGGCAGGCGGGAAACTAAGACTTCAGGGGCTGCCCGCACCCCCAGCACACCCATTGGCTAGTTTCCGACAAGAAGCTGGCCAATGGAAGTTGCCTGTTTGAATAACAGGCAGCACATGAAGCATCACTCCTCACTCCCCTCTGGCTCATAGTTATTCACACATGCACCCAACTCCTGCAACCTGTACAGAGGTGGAGCAGGCAGACAAGCTGCCTCAGAAACATGCTGGTCTGCTAGCCATGAATTACCCTGGGAAGTCTCCTGGCCAGAGCCTGCCTCTGTCACCTTAGCCCCTCCCTTCCCCAACCTTCTGCCCCCCACTCCACATAACCCAAACCTCTGCTCCCCCTCCTGTACCAATATCCCCTCCCAGATTCAGCACCCCGATCCTTGTCCCAGATCACAATTCCCTCCTGCCTTAGGTCCCGGACCAGTGTGAGCCAGGACAGAGCCGGGATCACTGTGGATCCGCATTTTAAATGTAGTAAGAGCCACCTGGCTCTTACTATGTTTAAAATGCAGAACTGCAGCAGTCCCAGGTCCAGCAGACCCTGTTCACAGCAGCCTGGGCTGGCCACAGGCAGAGGCTGCCCTTGCAGCAGCCCCTATCCATGGCCAGCCCTGGCTGCTGCGAACAGAGGCTGCTCCAGCAGCAGCCCCTGTCCACGAGGGGGGCCCAGCTTTGAGGCAGCAGTGGGGCAGAGGGGAAGCAGCACCAGGGAGACAGTGCTGGGGGAGAATCAGCTTTTAAGCCAGCTCCCGTCAGCATTGCCTTCTGTTTCACTCCGCCCCCCCCCTTTCTGCCTCTCATGAAAAGGCAGCAAGGGGGGGAAGCAAGTAGTCAAGCTGCCAACTCAACTACTCGCTTTCATCCCTATCCAGAATATTGTCTATGGGTTTAGTTTAGAAAAATAAATTACAATTTGAATACATGGAAATACTTTGTTTTCCTTTCATATCAATGAATCATCTGTGCTATAAGTAAATATATATCATGCCTAGAGGTAGAGCTTTTGTTTCAGGAAACAAGTATTACAGTAAAAATAACCATTAATGTGCAGGAAAAACTTAAAAAACAACTAATAGTCTAGTAGCACTTTCAAGATTAACAACACATGTAGATGTTATCATGAGCTTTCATGGACACCATTTGTTGCTGTTTAAGGTTCTCCTGATACAGACTAACGCGGCAACCCCTCTGAAGCTATTGAACATGAATGTGCATTCTTTGGTAACAATTATTTCATTTTATTTCCTGGTCTTTGTTATTTTAGGAAGGAGCCACCTGATACCTTTTAAAGTGAAGTTCACCTACTCAAACAGTGCAGCACTTATATCTGACTTCATCCCTCTTTAAGGACTTCAATGGGTTAGAAGTGGTGCATAGGTGCTATGAGGACTGTTAATGCAAGAGCCAATCTTCTCTCTCCTGAATCGTACTTAAGCATTCTGCTACCACTGGCCTCTTTCAATGCAACATGGATGGGAGAAACCAGGGCTCAGGTTAAATTCAATTACTTAGTCCAATATTTTGATTCAACTCAGTTAATTTGCAAACATATACTCCTCCTCCCCCTAACAAATAGGAGGCACCATTCTTTCTGCAGTGTTGTTCTGATGATTAGCTATACGTGTCTCAGTAAATGACAGCCAAAACATATTCTCCCAATACTAGAAATGCTGCTTTTTATATTAGATTTTGGATTGGCTTATCTAGCAGTGAAACGCATCATTTAGAGAGCTTGGGCCTGCTCTTGCTTCTGGCTCCAGTCCATCACAAAAACTCGCACTGACATCAAGAGAAGTAGTATCGGCCCTAACTAGGGATGTTAATGGTTAGCAGGTGAGGCTTACCAGTTACTGGATAACCAGAGGGACTGGAGCAACCCTCCACCCACGGCAGGCCCAACCCCGGTGTGCCGTGGATGAGACACTCCAACACAGCCAAAGCAGCCCCATCTGCAACAAAGGAGTCACTCCAGCTCATCCACAGCAGGAGGGGTGAGGGAAGCCACTCCAGCCCTAATTAAATGGGATTTTACACTCTGAGCCCTAACTGCTAAACACATGCATGGAGTACTGTGTTTCTGATTTTTTAATATAGTTTTTAATTCTTTATAAACTCTCTTGCACTGTCTTTACTCAGCCAAAACTCCCATTGAAAACAACAAGCACTTTGGAGTGCTGCCCCCTGCAAAAAAAAAAAAAAAAAAAAACTTGCTTGAGTTAGGACAGTACAATTTGCCCTTCTATCCACACAGTTTCACATTTTGAATCTCTCTCCATAAGCATTAATAATCCAGAAAGTAAATGTGATTTTTGCACTTCACTCAAACCAGCTAGAGAATGCCTACCTAAATCCAGAAACTGGAACACCATGTGCATGGTGTATTTAACATTGGAGGCATGATCCTCTAAACGGAGAACTAGTATTTGATCTTTGTCAAAAACAGTCAGCCAGTCCAAGAGATACACAACATAAAGGCCAACCTGTAGCCTTACCTACAAAAAAACAAACAAAAGGAGGTGAGTTAATTCATTTATACTGTCTTGTATCAAAATCAATGAATATTCATTCCACTGTTCTCTATGAGAAGAAAAATCTATTTTGGATTTGATCTAGAAGACTTTTAAAATACAGTAAGATGCCTACAACATTTTAAACTTGATTATGTCGCTCTTATGCATGGAGTTGTCTATTGAGTTCAGTGGGGCTACTTACATAGTTAAATCCTTCCACACTGGACCCCTATATTTGTAAATTATGTCTCAATTTAGTAAGGGCCTGAGCCTGTGTGCTTAGGCTCCAGTACTGCTAAGTGCAGAGCGCTCTGACCTTCAACCATTGAACAGAATAGGCATTCATGCAGGTATTTCAAGCTAGACATATAGCTGAGTACATTCACTTTCACTAGAGTCTAAAGGCACAGGAGTCCGCACAATGGTAGCTGAAAGCACTCAGCACCTTTTAAATGTGTCTTATAAACCTTATGATATATTGGGGTTACAATTTATTCCTCTATTTTATCAAAAATGCATTCTGTCAGGATACTCACAATATCTGCACCTAGGGTTGCCAGGTGTCTTGTATTGTACCGGACAGTCCAGTATTTGTGAGCTTTGTCCGGTAAAAAAGAAAATCAGAAAATACTGGACATGTGCAATGTCCGGTATTTTCTGATTTTTCTGGCTGCGCATCGGACGGAAGCCTGGTGTGGGCCGGGGGAGTAGCTGGAAGTCCCAGCTGGGAGGCGAACCCACAATTGCCGCCGGGAGCCCTCAGTTGGTTGAGTGTAAGGAGGAGGAGAAGCCTCCTCCTCACTTGTGCGTCGCCGAGAGCCTGCACGGGACAGGCAGCAAGTGCCCAGGTCAGTCCCACTCCCCGCCAGGCAATTTGCTCCCCCTTCCCTTCCCAGCCAGCTGTTTCTCCATCACTTCCCCTCCCTCACTTCCCTGGCCAGCCCCCCTGCACCCTCACCAGCTCCGCTTCCCGCTGGCCCATTCCTCTTCCTGATCTCCCCAGCCAGCGCCA